ACAAGGAAGGGTTAGTGTTGGGGTTACAGGGAAGGTCAGTGTTGGGGTTACAGGGGAGGTCACTGTTGGGGTTACAAGGAAGGGTCAGTGTTGGGGTTACAGGGAAGGTTAGTGTTGGGGTTACAGGGGAGGTCACTGTTGGGGTTACAGGGAGGGTTAGTGTTGGGGTTACAGGGAAGGGTCAGTGTTGGGGTTACAGGGAAGGGTCAGTGTTGGGGTTACAGGGAAGGGTCAGTGTTGGGGTCACAGGGAAGGGCTAGTGTTGGGGTTACAGGAAGGGTTAGTGTTGGGGTTACAGGGAAGGGCTAGTGTTGGGGTTACAGGGAAGTTGTAGTGTTGGGGTTACAGGGAAGGTTAGTGTTGGGATTACAGGGAGGGTTAGTGTTGGGGTAACAGGAAGAGTTAGTGTAAGGGTTACAGGGAGGGTTAGTGTTGGATTATAGGGAGGGTTAGTGTTGGGGTTACAGGGAGGGATAGTGTTGGGGTTACAGGGAGGGATAGTGTTGGGGTTACAGGGATGGTTAGTGTTGGGGTAACAGGAAGAGTTAGTGTTGGGGTAACAGGGAGGGTTAGTGTTGGGGTAACAAGGAGGGTTAGTGTTGGGGTAACAGGGAGGGTTAGTGTTGGGGTTACAGGGAGGGTTAGTGTTGGGGTTACAGGGAGGGTTAGTGTTGGGGTTACAGAGAGGGTTAGTGTTGGGGTTACTGGGAAAGTTAGTGTTAGGGTGACATGAAGGGTACTGTTAGGGTCATGAGGAAATCTATCAGCACTGATCTCCTGATGCCAGATGCTACTTTATCCGGAGAAACGAATCTCCTACATAACGAACATTCCTCGGAGAATGACAGTGACTACAGGACATGTCCTTTCATGGTGTCTATATGACCAGACCAGGACGGCCGGCATGTAATGACTGTATTTGGAGAGAATCGCAGAAGCCGCATTGCAGGATTGTGTAGAGAATTCTGTGAAGAATGACGTTCTGATATTTCCGGAGAGATCTCACCACCCACACACCATCCACTCCCAGCGCTCTCTAATGGACTGTTAGTGAAGGGGAGCGATGACAGCTGAGCTGGAGGATTATTAACCACACAATCGCTGGAGAAGTCAGATTGGATCAATCATTGTTTCTTCACTCCCATAACCCGACCAGACCATCAGATCAGCCAGACCATCAGATCAGTCCGACCAGACCATCAGATCAGTCCGACCAGACCATCAGATCCGCCCGACCAGACCATCAGATCCGCCCGACCAGACCATCAGATCCGCCCGACCAGACCATCAGATCCGCCCGACCAGACCATCAGATCAGCCCGACCAGACCATCAGATCCGCCCGACCAGACCATCAGATCCGCCCGACCAGACCATCAGATCAGCCCGACCAGACCATCAGATCCGCCCGACCAGACCATCAGATCCGCCCGACCAGACCATCAGATCAGCCCGACCAGACCATCAGATCAGCCCGACCAGACCATCAGATCAGCCCGGCAGGTCAAGGGTCCTTTCCCCTTAAAAATGGAACCACCCACTAACTCCATCTCTCTGGTGGAGACACTGGCAGGTAGGTCCTGAGGTTCACCAGCCGGCCCCAGTTGCTGTGGAGTCTCTCTGTGGCTCCTGTAAGGTAGAGTGCATCTAAATCCAGTAACAAAAATGTCAGAGTGCAGCTTACCCGTCCTTGGATCTGGAGGCTGCCATGGTTTTCCATATTTCAGGCTCAGTATGTGTTCTGCAAGCGCAGAAAAATACCAGTTGATCCTGCCGGAAATCCAGCATGATTGTAACATCTTGGCCACTGAACTGAAATCCAAAAAATGTTACCAGCTCTTACTAGTTCTCCCCTGTGGACTACGGAACACCAGAGATTGGTGTTTGTAACCCAAATCTCAGAAGAGCGGCCTACATAGATGTCAACTCTCCGGGATTTGCCAGGACAGTCTAGCAACGTGGTCCTCAGTTCCACTGATGATGTGTCCCGGGCCATGTCCTGGAACCACAGCACTCACCTTATCTGAGTTGCGGCACATGTGCAGTAACACAACAAGGAATTAATTGTGGGGTTTGGAACAATGGGTGGGCAGTCCCTGCATATTCAGAGGTGTGATCAGACCAGGACCAATCCATAAAGTGGGTATAATGGGTGTTCCCTGCATAGTTACAGGCAGAGTTTGGATAGGACCAAACCATAAAGTGAGCATAATGGGTGTTCCCTGCATAGTTACAGGCGGACGTCCAGATGGAACCAACCCATAAAGTGGACATAATGGGTGTTCCCTGCATAGTTACAGGTGGAAGTCCAGATGGAACCAACCCATAAAGTGGACATAATGGGTGTTCCCTGCATAGTTACAGGCGGAGTCCGGATGGAACCAACCCATAAAGTGGACATAGTGAGTGTTCCCTGCATAGTTACAGGCGGAGTCCGGATGGAACCAACCCATAAAGTGGACATAATGGGCGTTCCCTGCGTAGTTACAGGTGGAAGTCCAGATGGAACCAACCCAAAAAGTGGACATAATGGGTGTTCCCTGCATAGTTACAGGCGGAGTCTGGATGGAACCAACCCATAAAGTGGACATAATGGGCGTTCCCTGCGTAGTTACAGGCGGAGTCTGTATGGAACCAACCCATAAAGTGACATAGTGGGTTTTCCCTGCATAGTTACAGGTGGGGTCTGGATGGAACCAACCCATAGAGTGGACATAGTGGGTGTTCCCTGCGTAGTTACAGGTGGAGTCTGGATGAAATCAACCCATAAACTGGACATAGTGGGTGTCCCCTGCATAGTTACAGGCAGAGTCCGAATGGAACGATCCCATAAAGTGGACATAGTGGGTGTTCCCAGCATAGGTATAGGCAGAGTCTGGATGGAACCAACCCATAAAGTGGACAAAGTGGGTGTTCCCTGCATAGTTACAGGCGGAGTCTGGATGGAAACAACCCATAAACTGGACATAGTGGGTGTTCCCTGCATAGTTACAGGCGGAGTCTGGATGGAACCAACCCATAAAGTGGACATAGTGGGTGTTCCCTGCATAGTTACAGGTGGAAGTCTAGATGGGACCAACCCATAAAGTGGGCATAATGGATGTTCCCTGCATAGTTACAGGTGGAGTCTGGATGGAACCAACCCATAAAGTGGGCACAATAGGTGTTCCCTGCATAGTTACAGGCGGAAGTCCAGATGGGACCAACCCATAAAGTGGGCATAATGGGTGTTCCCTGCATAGTTACATAATGGGTGTTGCCCACCTAGAAAGTGGCCAGACAAAATTCAGGCCATGGGTGTCCCGGGATTTTGAACCATAATATTGGTAAGCCTAGCATGACAACACTGCTCCTCCATACATGCAGTATGGCGAGTGATTGTTGTCACCAGAGCACATGTAGTTTTACCGGTAGGATCAACAGGTGAAGATAAGGAGAAAAAAAACAGAAGAAAGTAAAACAAATGCAGCCACCACATCCAAGGATGGATGTTTTGACATTCTTTGGTCTTGGGTTTAAATACACTACCAACTAGTACAAGTACCCTGCTATCCTCTTCCCAATATTCCTCCTCCACTTGTCCCCGGGGGTAATAGGAAGGTTTCACACAAGTGCAGTGGTATGGATCAGCGAATTGTACCTTTATGTAGGATGTACAGGGAGAGGCAGCCAGTGAAGGCCAATGCGTCCGGCCTACATAATGCCCTTACAATGGATTCCATTGGCTTATAATACTGACAGACCATCTGTAACAATGGACTGTTAGGCCCCTGCCTTGGAGGCATGAGCATACTCATGCTATGAAGCTCCTCCCCCAACTCCTGCCTTCAAAGCCCCCAATGTCAATGTCCAGCAGGAAAAAAAGAAGTGGAAATCACCGGAGGAACTTTACTTTGGACTCTTCCATAGATCATTTTCCACATCTGTCCTCCTAAATCTCCACCCACTTTGGCTTTGGGTGGAGGATTCCTTTTAAATCTCCACCCACTTTGGTTTTGGGTGGAGGATTCCTTTAAATCTCCACCTACGTTGGCTTTAGGTGGAGGATTCCCTTTAAACCTCCACCCACTTTGGCTTTGGATGGAGGATTTCTCTTTAAATCTCCATGTACATTGGTTTTGGGTGGAGGATTCCTTTAAATCTCCACCTACGTTGGCTTGGGGTGGAGGATTCCCTTTAAATCGTCACCTACTTTGGCTTTAGGTGGAGGATTCCTTTTTAAATCTCCATCTGCATGGGCTTCTGGTGGGGGACTCCTTTAAATCTCCACTTACGTTGACTTTGGGTGGAGGATTCCCTTTAAACCTCCACCCACTTTGGCTTTGGGTGGAGGATTCCCTTTAAACCTCCACCCACTTTGGCTATGGGTGGAAGATTCTCTTTAAAGCTCCACCCACTTTGGCTGCAGGACTTCTCTTTAAATCTCCACGTTCATTGGTTTTGGGTGGAGGATTTCTTTAAATCTCCACTTACGTTGGCTTTGGGTGGAGGATTCCCTTTAAACCTCCACCCACTTTGGCTTTGGGTGGAGGATTCCCTTTAAACCTCCACCCACTTTGGCTATGGGTGGAAGATTCTCTTTAAAGCTCCACCCACTTTGGCTGCAGGACTTCTCTTTAAATCTCCACGTTCATTGGTTTTGGGTGGAGGATTTCTTTAAATCTCCACTTACGTTGGTTTTGGGTAGAGGATTCCCTTTAAACCTCCACCCACTTTGGCTTTGGGTGGAGGATTCCCTTTAAATCTCCACCTACTTTGGCTTTGGGTGAAGGATTCCTTTCAAAATCGTCACCTACATTGGCTTTGGATGGAGGATTCCTTTAAATCTCCACCAACTTTGGCTTCAAAAAGGTTAAAAAGTTTTTATAAAGGGTCAGAGATTGTGTGGCTAATAGGATCTTTTTTTTATAGAGGAGCATTGAGAAAGCAGAAATCCAGGCAGAACTGAACTGTGTCTTGTTGTTTCATATTTTATTTGCTGTAAGAAATTAGAATTCTCACCTTAACAGTGTCTGAGAGAAATACTTCAGGGTGTTGGCAATGTCAGTTCCCGTTGGCACCGGATAAGTATTATGGATGACGCGGTGGTGGTACTCGTGTAGGTATCGGATTTTGGAGGCAACTGTGTAGAGAGATAACAGATATATATATATTAAAAAAGTCTCCAGTCTGTAAAATGTGTAAAGCACAAAACAAAATGTGAACAATAAAAGGAGGAGAGCGAACCCTAGGGGAGGAGAGCAAACCCTAGGGGAGGAGAGCAAACCCTAGGGGAGGAGAGCAAACCCTAGGAGAGGAGAGCACACCCTAGGGGAGGAGAGCAAACCCTAGGGGAGGAGAGCAAACCCTAGGGGAGGAGAGCAAACCCTAGGAGAGGAGAGCACACCCTAGGGGAGGAGAGCAAACCCTAGGGGAGGAGAGCAAACCCTAGGGGAGGAGAGCAAACCCTAGGGGAGGAGAGCAAACCCTAGGAGAGGAGAGCACACCCTAGGGGAGGAGAGCAAACCCTAGGGGAGGAGAGCAAACCCTAGGGGAGGAGAGCAAACCCTAGGAGAGGAGAGCACACCCTAGGGGAGGAGAGCAAACCCTAGGGGAGGAGAGCAAACCCTAGGGGAGGAGAGCAAACCCTAGGGGAGGAGAGCAAACCCTAGGGGAGGAGAGCGAACCCTAGGGGAGCGAACCCTAGGGGAGGAGAGCAAACCCTAGGGGGAGGAGAGCAAACCCTAGGGGAGGAGAGCAAACCCTAGGGGAGGGGAGCAAACCCTAGGGGAGGGGAGTCCCATAACTCACAAGACCTAGACCGGCTTCCATATAGAAAACTACATGAACATCCAGACAGAGCAGATAAAAAAAATACTAAAGAAGTTGCTTAAAGAAAACAATAAAAATGTTACACAAACCAATTACAACCAACATGTTTCGGGATTTGCAAGGGTCCCCATCCATTAGGGATTTAAGTAGAGAAGGCAAATATCCCCAACAGTGCAAGGACAACCGAAACTAACCTGACAATATAAAAAGCACGGAGTGAGCTTCAGACCAATTGTCAAGGTCCTGAAATCTGAGTTTTTTGGTCTTTAATTGGGGTGACTCAAGGTCCCCCTTCATCAGGTCTTTAAGTAGTGAAGGCACATTTCTCCAACAGTGCACGGACAACCAAAACTAACCCAACAGTAGGAAACTTGGAGTGAGCTTCACACCAATTCTCAAGGCCCTAAAATCTAGGCTTATTGGTCTTTAGTTGGGGTGACTCAAGGTTCACCTTCAACCAGGTCTATACGAAGTAAGTATGAAACTTGGAGTGAGCTCCACACCAATTTTCAAGGTCCAGAAATCTGGGCTTTTTGGTCTTTAACTGGGGAGACTCAAGGTCACCCTTCATCAGGTGTTCAAGTAGTAGGAAAGAAAATTGAAGTGAGCTCCACACCAATTCTCAAGGCCCTGAAAACTAGACTTATTGGTCTTTAATTGGGGTGACTCAAGGTCCACCTTCATCAGGTCTTTATGTAGTAAGTAAGAAACTTGGGGTGAGCTTCACACCAATTGTCAAGGTCCTAAAATCTAGATTTACTTGTCTCTAATTGGGGTGACTCAAGCTCTTTCAACCAACAGCTTGAGTCACCCCAATTAAAGACCAATAAGCCTAGATTTCAGGACATTGACAACTGGTATAGAGCTCACTCCAAGTTTCCTGCTGTCAGGTTAATTTTAGTTGTCTGTGCACTGTTGGTGAGATTTGCTTTCACTACTTGAAGCCCTGATGAAAGGGGACCTTTGCAAACTCCAAAACTTTTTGGCTGTAACAAATTGAGTTCTCCCAATTAAAGACTAAGTTAAAATTTCAGAACCTTGACAAATGGTGTGGAGCTCACTGTGTGTTTCTTACGGTCAGGTTATTTTTGGTTGCAGTGCACTGTTAGTAAAATTTGCCTTCACTACTTGAAGCCCTGATGAAAGGGGACCTTTGCAAACCCAGAAACTTGTTGGTTTTAACAGCTTGATTCATCCCAATTAAAGACCAAAAAGCCTAGATTTCAGAACCTTGACAATTGGTGTGGAGCTCACTCCAAGTTTCCTACTGTCAGGTTAGTTTTAGTTGGCTGTGCACTGTTAGTGAGATTTGCCTTCACTACTTGAAGCCCTGATGAAGAAGGACCTTTGCAATCCAAAAAACTTGTTGGTTGTAACAGTTTGAGTCCCCCCAATTAAAGACCAATAAACCTAGACTTCAGGACCTTGACAACTGATGTGAAACTCACGCCAAGTTTCCAACTGTCAGGTTAGTTTTGGTTGTCTGTGCACTGTTGGAGAGAGTTGCCTTCACTACTTGAAGCGCTAAAGAAGGGGGACCTTTGCAAACCCAGAAACTTGTTGGTTGTAACAAACTGAGTTCTCCCATTTAAAGGCCTAAATTTCAGCACCGTGACAATTGGTATGGAGCTCACTACGTGTTGCTGTCGGGCTAGTTTTTGTTGCCTGCGCACTGTTGGTGAGGTTTGCCTTCACTACTTGAAGCCCTGATGAAGAAGGACCTTTGCAAACCCAGAAACTTGTTGGTTGTAACAGTTTGAGTCACCTCAATTAAAGACCAATTAAAGACCAACAGGCCTAAATTTCAGGACCTTGACAAATGGTATGGAGCTCACTATGTGTTTCTGACAATTCTTACTTACTACATAAAGACCTAATGAAGGTGGACCTTGAGTCACCCCAATTAAAGACCAATAAACCTAGACTTCAGGACCTTGAAAACTGATGTGGAGCTCACTCCACGTTTCCTACTGTCAGGTTAGTTTTGGTTGTCTGTGCACTGTTGGGGAGATTTACCATCACTACTTGAAGACCTGATGAAGGGGGGACCTTTGCAAACCCAGAAACTTGTTGGTTGCAACAGCTTGAGTCCTCACATTTAAAGACGAATTAAAGATTAAGAGGCCTAAATTTCAGGACCTTGATAATTGGTGTGAAGCTCATTCTGTGTTTCTGTCGAGCTAGTTTTGGTTGTCCGTGCACTGTTGGGGAGATTTACCATCACTACTTGAAGCCCTGATGAAGGGGGGCCTTTGCAAACCCTGAAACTTGTTGGTTGTAACAGCGTAAGTCACCCCAATTAAAGACCAATAAACCTAGACTTCAGGATCTTGACATTTGGTGTAGAGCTCACTCCAAGTTTCCTACAGTCAGATTACTTTTGGTTATTCAAGCACTGTTGGGGAGACTTGCCTTCACTACTTGAAGCCCTGATGAAGGGGACCTTTTGCGAACCTGACACTTGTTGGTTGTAACTGCTTGAATCATCCCAATTAAAGACCCATAATTCAGACTCTTGTTAATTAGTGTGGAGCTCACTCAGTGTTACCGTCAGGTACAATTTTGGTTGTTTGGTTGTCCGCATTGTTGGGGAGATTTGCCTTTACTTCTTGTCCCAGAGATCAACAGTAAGTGAGAGGAAATCTCCCAACATGAGATGGATTATCCTCTTAGAGAGCTGTCCTTGAGACAGGGGTCCCCAGTGGATGATTTACCCAAACTTTTTATTCTGGTATCATTTTTTTTGAGGTCACCGTGACAAAAGAAAGTGTGATTCAAATTAATGGAGACAGCAATAAGAACTTTACAAGGGGTCTATCCCTTCCCCACTATCCAAAACTACTTGAAATGTTTTTCACATACATATCATTTAATAGTGATTAAAAATGACCCTGCTTGGCCAAAATTTTGCCAAAATTTAACGGATTTGGCAAAATGTCCTGATTTACTACAAAAAAAAAAAAAAAAAAAGGATTGGCAACATGAAAGCTTCCAATTTCACTCATCCCTACAACACATCTCACCAAAATTTCATAATTTGGCCAAATGCAATGGCGAAAACGGGAGGTTGATGTAACGGGACACAAGGGCTCAATAGCGCACACGGAGAAAGGGAAACCTCCGGCTCTAGTGTCGCAGTAGAAATCCAAGACTTGAGAGTCCCACTATACGATGGCTGCATAGTAGATGTTCCCTGTGCACTGAGAAACAGTTAGGGAACAGAAGGCGCCACCATCCACTATCCAAAGCTATTTGAAATGTTTTTCCCATACATATCATTTAACGGACCATGCTTGGCCAAAATTTTGCCAAAATTTTACGGATTTGCCACAATGTCCTGATTTACCACAAAGGAAAAAAAAAAAAGATTGGCAACATGACAGCTTCCAATTTCACTCATCCCTACAACACATCTCACCAAAATTTCATAATTTTGCCAAATGCAATGGCGAAAACGGGAGGTTGATGTAACGGGACACAAGGCTCAATAGCGCAAACGGAGAAAGGGAAACCCCCCGGCTCTAGTGTCTCAATCCAAGACTTGAAAGTCCCACTATACGATGGCTGCAGAGTAGTAGATGTCCCCTGTGCACTAAGAAACAATTATGGAACAGAAGGTTCCACCATCCACTATCCAAAACTACTTGAAATGTTTTTCACATGCATATCATTTATTGGACCCTGCTTGGCCCAAATTTTGCCAAAATTTCACGGATTTGGAAAAAATATCCTGATTTACTACAAAGAAAAAAAAAAAAGATTGGCAACATGAAAGCTTCCAATTTCACTCATCCCTAAATATTTCATAATTTGGCCAAATGCAATGGTGACAATAGGGAAGGTTAATGTAACGGGACGCAAGGCTCAATAGCATAAACGGAGAAAGGGAAATCCCGGCTTTTAGTGTCTCAATCCAAGACTTGAGTCCCACTATATGATGGCTGCAGAGTAGTACATGTTCTCTGTGCACTGAGAAACAATTAGGGAACAGAAGGCACCATCCACTATCCAAAACTATTTGAAATGTTTTTCACATATGTATTTAATAGACCCTGCTTGGCCAAAATTTTGCCAAAATTTAACGGATTTGGCACAATGTCCTGATTTACTACAAAGAAAAAAAAAAGGATTGGCAACATGAAAGCTTCCAATTTCACTCATCCCTACAACACATCTCACCAAAAATTTCATAATTTCGCCAAATGCAATGGCGAAAACGGGAGGTTGATGTAACGGGACACAAGGCTCAATAGCACAAACGGAGAAAGGGAAAACCCCCGACTCTAGTGTCTAAGTGGAAACCCAAGACTTG